GTAAAATAATAAAATCACAGGGATTTTCCATTTTGTACTTTCCAATTTTTCTTAAATGACTATGGCACCAATTTTACGATGACTAAAACTATTGCAATAAAGATCACATAATGGAAGTTTTTAAATCTAGGCAGTGTTATCTATGCTCCAACTTGATTTCTTATCAGAGCTGCATATCCAAGTGATTAAACAGCGAGAAATACTTTTAAATAGGGTTCCTGGCAGCCAAAATAAAAGAGAAAGAGGGAGTGACTGATTTCACCACTCTGCAAAGAAAGGACGGAACTTGCCAATTTCCACTTCGAGGAGTCCAACCTTATCTCACACCTAACTTTAAATGAAATATCTGGGTTTTATGTGCAGCTTAAATTGGCTCTGAAGGAAGTGTCAAAAGGGACAATCTAGATATTCCAAACAAGATCAGGTTCATTCCAATAAATGCGTGACTGGTGAAAGGGCAACACTCTTACGATGTCTGAGATCACAAAACAAACCACCCATCGGGGGAGCTCAGCACTCTATCCCCGCAAAGGAAGACGCAGGCCAGGCCAGCACTGAGGTAGAGACCTCCTCACTTGGCAGCTGAGGCCGTCCGCAAAGCCACCAACCCCACTAAGGCAACCACACTCTAGAGCAGTAAGTTCATTTCTGGAACCACAAATGCATTGCTAGTGCCGTATATGGACCAGCCAGGCCAAACCATGCTCCCCAAAAAGCTGCTCCCAGGCTCTCACTGCAGTCTTGTCAGGAGGAGCTTAACTTCCAACCAATGCATATAAATAATCAGTAATCCTTCCAACCTCAGTACCACCCAGCTTTCCTCTCACTCTCACCACTCCTGATTGCTAAAATTTGGACGACAGATGACACGCTTCTCTGCCTTCTTGCACAGGACTCTGACCATAATTTCACTTTCCATGCCCAGAGGCCTCCTGGATTGTGAAGGGCTGCTGTGTCTACGGCAGCACTAGCACATTCCCTGCTCCACAGTGCACGTCTGCCCACCAATCCATGCAGCCCCACGTATCACAGTAGTGATGCTAGGAACATTGCCAACAAATGGAACTATGTCAAACTAAAAAGCTTCTACAAAGCAAATGAAATCATCAACAGAATAAAAAGGCCACCTATGGAAGGGGAGAACATATTTGCAAATCACATACCTGACAAGGGATTAACACCCAAAATATGTAAAGAGCAGGACCGGTTCCTGCTGAAGGCCCGGCGGAGGGCAGGTCCAGCAGAGCCCCATGCATGCAGCAGGGACATGCCCCCCTCCCACGACTCTAGACCAACAGTCAGACCAACAGAGGCCAGGAGAGCTTATTTCCAACACCTCAGGACCCTCCAATCCCCCCCACCCCTAGTAGGTGCCTCCTTGGGAATTCAATGGGGTTGAGGTGCTGCGGTCAGAGGGGCCTGCCTGGGAAGCCAAGGAGGGCTGACGTGGAGGGGCGATCCCAGCCCTGGAGACGTGTCTGCCAGAATGAAAGGATCCACCTGGCAGGGTGGACCAGCTTGCCCCTCCAAGGTGCTTTCCCACCAAGACACAGTCGGGGCTCTGGGCCTTGAAGGACAGGAGGGAGAATCTAGACAGGAAGAAAGAACAAGTCCTGAGGGAGAAGCAGAGAAAGAGGGCTGGACCCGGGACCAGGGGCAAAGCTTATGCCCTTCCTAGGTGAGCTCAGAGCAGGTGAGAGGCTGGGATTTCCCATGTTCCCCTCAGCTTTTCCCCTGGACTTTTCTCTGGCCAAGAGCCAACATTAGGCAGGAAAGCCCCCACCCAGAAAACCAGAGCAGTGACTTGGACAAGGCTGACCGGCTCCTGAGAAAACTGGCTCTAGTCAGCATGGGCTCTGGGGGAAGAGCAGAGGGACTCCGGATGGTGCGGCAGTGGGGGCGGCTTTCACATATAAATCAGTATCCAGAATTCTGCAGAGACACACAGGTCGACTATGAGCCTGCAGGGGCGGGACTCTCATGTAGGACACTGGCAGGGAAGGAAGAACTAATGTCTGAGTTTGAATCCTGAAGGCTTTGCCCATGGCCCCAGGCCCATTTCCCCACATCCAGTCCCGTCTGTGGCGCCCTCCCTCTCCCACAAAAACTGTGTACTTCCTGGCACCGCAGCTGTGGGCAGGGCCCAGAGTCACCCTCAGGGGGAGCCCATTTTTGGCTCCAGTGGCCACAGAGGGACAGGCACACAATCTGTGAACGATTTTCAGCCCTACAACCCCTTCATGGGGCAGAGAGTGAGTTATTTTCCATTGCAAGGGTAGAAACAGGTGTGGAAAGCCATGTCCAAGATAGGCCAGACAGGCAGTAGCCAAGCTGGGGCCAGAAGCCAGATCAGATTCCTGGTCCAGCACTCACTGCATGCTCAAGTGGCTTCTCCTAGGGTTAGGGTTGGGGAGGGGACAGGACCCATGGGATCATCTTTCAGGGAGCCTTAGGGGAAAGGGAGGGGTGGAGAGATCACTCTAGTGGCTGGGGGGGGGGAGATGGGAAGTGTTTTAGGCTGTGGCCCTACCCACACCCTGGGGGGGGTCACACACACCCCACCGTTCCTGCTGGCTGAAATCACGCTCAGCAATTAGCCACCTGAAGACCCAGGCCCAGGGTCCAAGGCTGAGTCCCCTCCAGGCAGTCCTCCCGCTTTGTCCCAGCCTGTTCCACAGCTGTCTGTGCCTCTCAGTCTTCTCCTGGGGCCAGGGAGAAGAGTGTGGGGTTGGGGTGGAGAGGCCTGGGGGAACTTGCTTTGAAAATCACCAAATTTATCACCCTCCTCCAGCTCTGGACCTGGTGGGAGCAGAAGGCCCACTTCCCAGGTGGCCTTGGGGGCTGCACCCCACGCGGTGCCACCAGGTGCCTCTGCTAGCGGACTTGCGGAGACCTCATCCCGGATCAACCCCCATGTCCTCCTCCTGCTCCTTGAAATTGGCCGCCCCGCTCACGTGGCTGGGTTCTGAGTCCAGACATCTTTTCACCCCTCACACTCTCCCACCTGCCTCTCCACGGCAGAGGCACTCTCTCCTTCCAGCGTCCACCTCCTGAGACGAGGCACTGGCGGAGGGGCTGCCCTCAGCCTGGGCAGAGCTGACGGCACAAGACAGTGTTTCTGCTGCCCGTCCCTTTCCGTATGTAGCTGCTCTTGCTGGAGACTTCTTCCCGCCAAAGCAAGGGGGCAGTGGGAGGGGCAGACGCGGCAGCCTTGCCCTGATGGACACCAAATGGCTGGAGGCACGTCCCTGCCTTGAGGCTGTGAATTTGCATATTCAGGGGAAAATGACCGTCTTCCACACCACAGAGAAGAAAAATCTAGCACCTCACTTGACTTTGGCCACGTGAGGAGACACCTCTCTGCCTCCCTCCCTCCCTGGCTCCCACCTGTAGCAATACAGTCAGAACGGTCATGTCCTGCATCTACTCCTGGGCTGCTGCCCGGCCCCCTCCCCAGGCAGTGTCAGGAACTGTCTTCTCCCAAGGTTTCTCTGAACTTCTCCCCATGGAGGACCTGGCAGGGCCCAGGCTGCTCTCCACACCTTCCAGGAATGGGGCCCGGCCTTCCGGGTGTCCACTCAGGTGAGGGCCCTTTGTCCTCAGGGAGGCCCATCTGAAAGTCACGGGAACGCTGCCTGCGGAGAGCAGCCAGTACCCGGCAAATTGTTCCTGGGAGGAAACAGAGGATTCAGCTCAGTATTTAAGACGAGTACAAACAAGTTCAGCTCTGTGGGCTCACCAGACGCACCCGAGTTGTCCTGGGCACAAGGGAGCCAGCCCGCCATCCTCTGGTTTCTGACCTCTCGGGAGAGTCAGGAGCCATCTCACTCCCCAGCTCTGCGGCTCCTGTGTGGACACAGACATGGCCCGGGCCTGGCGGGTGCTCTCTCTGCCCGATGCAGAGACCGCTCGGTCCAACTGTCCTCTGTTGCGAGAAGATCCTCAGCTAGGATCCTGCCTGGCCCTGGGCCTCGGCCACCACCACAGCTGTCCCAGCAGATCCAAAGGCTGGAACCCAACCTACTTCAGAGCGAGATGCGCGCCCTGTTCCAAAAGGCCGTGCTGGGCACGGAGAAGCGAGCGAGCTCCTGTCCCCCCAGGGCATCTCCCTCGCATCTGTCCCGGTAACAGGTGCCTTCTCAGGCCCACAGCAGCTCCGCTTCAAGCCGCAGCTGCGGGACCACCTCAGGGAGGGGACGGTGCAGGACGCAGCCCACCTAGGAGGACATCTCTTCCCTCTTCACTGCATCACCCAGGGAGGGTCTCCTGAGCTGTGAAGTGAAATGAAACGGCAGCCTCTGTCCCTCCCAGTTTCCACTCTGGCTCCGGGCGGGACCCTGAGGGCAGGTTCCGGAGGGATTTGGAGCCCTTGACGGGCGTGGCCTACAGGCATGGCCCTGACCATCCGTCAGGAACTGGGACCAGAAGCTCCAGGAACCGGCTTCCATGCCAGCTCACCCCCACCTGTCACTGTCCGACCTCTTCCTGCTGCCCCAGAGGGGACCAGCTCTGTGGGTGATAGCCAGGTCAGCCACACTCCTAACGGTCAGCACAGCGGGGAGGGCAGAGGAGCCACAACAGTAGCCCAGGACTGTCCCCGCAGCCTCTCAGGGACAATTCCACTCTCTCCAAGACCCTGTGCTCTGAACGTACTAGGAGAGGCGGACACATCTCAACCACGGCACTGTACTCCCAGGTTGGTGGGCCTGAGGACAGAGCAGCGCTGGCAGGGAAGGCTGCCAGGGCTGCTGGACCCCCAGCGAGGAGGAGCCACGTCAAAGACCAGAGGGTCCTGGCGCCACTTTGGAGAGCAGCCTCTGCCCACCTGGGTCGCTCCAGACACTCTCTCGGGTGATGGTCACAGGTGGCCAGGCCAGGACAACATGGACAAGGTAAAGGTGGCTAAAAATCATACACACAAACGTGTGCTGAGGTGCCACTGTGTGGGGACACCTCCCACCGGAGAGCTCACTGCCAAGTCCAGAAAAATGACTTAAGAATTACGCTTTCTTTCAAAAACTTTTATTGTGCACAAAATGGCCCATTTCCCTTTGTAGATTAGTTGTTACCACCTTTAATCTTTTTCTTTAAACTCTCCATGTTCTGCCCCACTAAAAAAATCCCTGCTCTTTTGAAAAGATAGTGTCTCGTTGCTGGTCAAGGACAGCTGGAGGACAGCTCTAGGGGCAGAGGCCAGAGGACGCCATCTGAGCAGGGCTGCCCCTCAGCCGGACCTGAACCTGGTGGCCCTGCCCTGGCCTGGGGCTTGGGCTCACACACTGGCGTTTCACAGAGAGCCTGCCGCCCGGCCTTCAAGGGGACCTGGCTCTTGGGAAGGGCTGCGTGCATGTCCAGAGTCAGACACACTGATGCAGCACGTCAGCAGGGCACGAAAAGGACCTGCAAGTAGTGGTTACAAAATGGGAGACTGGGAAAAGTGCTTCCTAGACCCTGCAGTTGCCACGCTGCCAGGGGCTGGGCTGGCTGAGCTCGTCAGGCCCCACACGCTTCTCTGGCTAGGGCACTGGCTGGCAGCAAGGGCGGGCCCAGCACCTGGTGCTCCTGCTGCATCAGGCCTCACAGCTGGATCCAGCGTCTCTTGCAGCCACTCTGTAAACCCGTCCTCATCCCGGGTGGGCAGGGACTGCGAGGGACGGGCCCAGCAGGCACGAAGCACCTGCTAGGTGGGCGGAAGGTCAGGCAAAGGCCACACGGGCGATGAATCGGGGCTTAAAGATGGAATCTAGACCACCCTCCGGTCCCCCTTTAAGAACAGAGACTGAAACTGGAGACCTATCCCCTCACTCAGAGAGTGGGCAGTGAGGAGGCCAGGTCAGCACTGTGGTGGCTGGGGCAGCACGTCTCCTGGATTCCACAGGAGAGCGTGGTGGCTTTGGACGAAGCAAAGAAGACAGCTTTCTGCTCCTCTGCGGTGAGAATGACTTTAAGCTGAGGCACGCGGTGGTTCCTGTGGATGCCCCACCTGTCCGGCCATGAAGCCTCTCTTCCCCACCAGGACTTGGCTGGAGGGCCTCACGCTGGCCTGGCACTGATGGGAACGCTCCTGGCTGGACGTGCGCTCCTGCTCTGCGGCAAGCACAGCCCCGTGGATTCTGACAGCGGCTGTGAGCTGGACACAGCTGGTCCCTGGCTGACCCACGGCAGAAGCCGGCTCCGTGGTGCCCCCAGGATGTGTGTGCAGGGCTCAGGCCAGAGCCCTTCCCATGCCGCAACAGCGCATCTCCACTAGGTGGGTCCGAGCAGGGTCCCACACCTGCTGGTACAGCCAGCCTAGAACTTCCTTTAGTAAGAGTTGTGGGAGGTGAAACCTTGGCACCAAAACTGAGGAGAAAAAGTGGGTTTTGCAGAGCCAGGATTTCAACAGGGAGGGCCGATGGCACCTGAGCTGTGCGGCCTGGCTCCCAAGGTGCTGAAATGTGTCCTTGACGAGCAAGCGGTGCAGACGCAGACGTCAGGCGCCGGGTGGAGGACAGGCAGCGGGTGCCGGGACCCACATGGGGGTCTCAGCTGACCCGAGGCCTCCGGGGCAGCAACACTACGGAGGAGGGGAATAAATAGAGTGACCAGCTCGGTCGGTGGGGACACACCTCTGTACCACCACCCCAGGTGCCAGGCCACCAGTGTCTCTGGTAAAGATACAAAAATGAAGTTGCTTCAAGTACTGAAAAAATAAGTTAATTGACAGAGAGGATATGAAGCTACCGTGCGTCTCGCCAGGCTGTCAGCTTCATTCGGTGCAAACACAGGAACAATGAAGGGAGGAGCAGAGCCTTCACCCAAAGTGAGGCGCCCAGGACAAGCCTGTCCGACCGCAGGGCCGGGGACTCAGGGCCGTCTCGCCCCCAAAGGCATTATTTTCCAGTGTTGTGAACTAAAAGCAAATTGCAGCAGCCTCAGGCCTCAGGCCACTGGGCCTCCTGACCGTGTGACGAATCTGGAGCCGGAGCAAGCCCAGCCTCGGCTTCCCCGCCACGGCCACTCCCCCAGGGCCCCGTCACGCCTCGCTTCTGGTTAGTGCCTTGGGAGCAGGAGGAGCCACGTCCTGCCGCCAGACACGCCTGTGGGGTCCCCGTGTCCTCACCCGCGCCCTGCCGAGGACTCAGGTTTCCCTCCCCACACCCACGTCGCACGCTCCCTGCTCCTCTCTCCAGAGCGCGAGGTCTAGGTGGCCTCTCCCAAGGAGGCTGAGCCACCCAGACAACCGTCTTCACCTGGGGCGCCCCACAGCACGGACGCTTGACTGCTTCTCAGAGGCACACAGACACTTGAGTGCAAACTCCCAGGAGGCGCCAGGCCTTCTCGGACCTTGGGAGAACCCAGCCTGGGTCAGGTGGATGCACAGACCAGCCAAGGCCTGGGCGGCACTCAGGACCAGTTCAGGCTGAAGCCCTTGGACAGCATGGCGGCCTCCAGGTCCTTGTCCTCCTCCTTCTCCCGGAGCCGCTGCTCCTCCAGCAGGGCCACGAGGGCATCTCTCTGCTCCACCACCTCCAGCATCTCGTTCAGGATCCTCTTCTCCTCCGACAGCTCCTCCTCCGTCTTCAGGTGATCTGGGTGGAACCAAACACGTCAGGCCTGTAGGGCCAAAGGCAGCGGCCCACCCCGGCCTCCCATCCCCTCTTACCTTCCACGGCCATCCGCTCGCGGAGTTCCTGCTGCAGGCGGCTCTGCCGGTCCTCCAGCTCCAGCTCCCGGGCACTGGGGTTTCGGGGGTGGGGGGACAAGCAAGTGACTGGGGGACACACCTCCTCATCCCCTGAACTAGGAAGGGTCTGCACTCCTGCTGGAACCAGCCCTGAGCTGACGGCCCCCCAGCACCCTCCACCCAAGGCCCTTGTCCCTGAACTAAGAAGCTCCTGCCGGGACTGGCCACTCACAAGATCATCAGCTCCGACTCGTAGCGCACCAGCGCGTTCTTCTCCTGCACCAGCGTGAACCACTCCTGCATGAGCTTGGGATCGTCCTTCTTGCCCATGCCTGCCAAGAGAGGGCGTGTTGGGCCAGCGGTGCCTGCTGTTCCCCCGCCGCAGGAACCCTCACACTGGGGCAAACGTGCAGAGGGCCCAGCGGGATCAGTCAGACGCTCCCAGGCCAGGCCCACGGTTTGCCGACGGCCACCAGGGCACCACGTCCCCAGGGCCAGACACGCCTGCGCCTTCCTCTGTCCTCCCGGCCCGGCCCTCACCCCTCGGCAATTGGCCGCAGCTCGCCTGGACCCCTCTCCTGCTTGACCGCTTCCTCGGGGTCCGTTTTAAGTGCTCTGCTCCCCTTCTCATTCGTCTGGTGTGTACTTGGTACTTGCTGGGCACCAGGTCTGCTTTGAGGAGACCAGTCTAATGAAGAGGAAACAAACTCGCCTTCCTCCTGGGGACACTTGCCAGCCTGTGCTGGGCTCTGACTGCTCAGGGCCGCTGCGCCGAGGCCTCCTCACCTCACACTCTGACCAGAGGCTACCTCTCTCCACCAGTGCCCTTCTGGCCTCCTGACAATGCTCCCAGCGACCCCTGCAGGGCAGACGCAGTCCATCCCAGGGAGCCGTCACCAGGGACTCTCACCAGGGCGGGGAGACCACGGGCTCCCTGCTTTAATCCAGGCCCAGCAGCAGCTTCTGGGGTCGGTGCCGCCCGCGGTCGGCTGATACCCAAGCCTCCACTGGGAGCAGCCTGACCCTGCTGGGCTCAGCTGCAGCCGGAGGAGGGAAGGGGGAACCTTCCAAGGAGCCACACCCCACAGAGGGGACACGGAAGCCTATGGCTGTAGTGCAGTCTTAACCAAAGGCGGAAGGCAGGCTGCCAGGGGCTCCTTGCTGTTTTAGGGTTACAAGCCACCTGACACTCTCAGGAAGCCTGGGGACTCTCTTCCTAGAAAATGCACATGAACACATCCAACAAGTGTACACAGGGGTTCGCAGGCCTCCCCACGGCCAGGCTGAGAGCTCTCCCCAGCTGCCTATGTTCTGTGGGTCACTGGTCAGAAGTTCTCTCCCAGGAAAGCCAAACCCAGAAACACACGGGCAACTCTCAGGGACCCTGACCTCCTACCGACTTCCTGGGTGCCGTGTGCCTGGCACATGCGGCCACGCTCAGGGAGGCAGGACTGAACAGCATTCGCACGAGCAGGGGCTGTGCCTGCACTGAGCTGCCCGGAGCCCTGGCCCATCGGGCCCGCCCCTGCGGGGTGTCAGGCCCAGCAGGCTCAGCTCTCTGGCTTCAGAGCAGCTGTGTTCAGCTTCACACACTCCTTTCTGAGCATCTCTGCACAGCGAGCCACGGGGTATGGAGGCTGGAGCTCCGAGGCATGCAAGCCCTCCAGGCCCTGGGAAGCCTCCCTCCCTCCTGCTGCCCCAGCACAAGGACACCCCCACGGCTCCAGGGCAGCAGGCTCTGAAGAGGCGGTTGCATGGATGCAGGGGAGTGGGGGGAGAGTCAGAGGTGAGCGCCGGGGAGAGCAGAGGAAGGTTAGCAGTGTAGCTGGGGCACACTCCCATCCCCGGCCCACATGCCTTGTCAACCAATGACAATCTTGTCACCACAACAGACTGCAAACCAGACAAACTTAAAGAAAACACACACTCGGCAAGACACAGGGCAGAGAAGTTGCTTTCAGTGGTTGTTTTGGAGAGAACTGGGGCGTCTGTGCAGACCAGTCTCTGTAAGGACAGTATTCCTTGACTCCACCAGCACAAGCCACTGCCGCACGGCGGGGGGCTGGTCACGTGGGCTCAAAGCCCGACCACAAGTGGTGGCCCAGTGTCGTGGGATGCCTGCTGCGGCCCCAGAGGCCCTCAGAGCAGGAGCTGGTTTGCCCCGTTCCCCGTCCTCCCAGGACAGTCACAGGGATACTGTACCTCGTGAGGAACGGCCACATGCTCTGGAGCTTCCTAACAGGGCTACCAAGTGTCAGAGGAGGGAGGGCAGAGAGCTGGTTTTGGGTCCCTTTGGACGAGTGTTGCTACGAGCCCTGGGAGGCAGTAGGGGGGGAGCGGGGTTACGTTACCTTCCTGGACACAGCAAGGGCAGAAGGAGAGAGGTCGACGCCGTGGAGTCCCGCCACTGGGCTCAACTTCAAAAAGGGCCAAACAAGGAGGAGGAGGAGGAGACAAGACAGACAGAGGAGGAGTGTGGAGCAGAGAGGGTCAGGGGAGGTGACGTAAGAACAAGCAGAGGACAAAAGCATAAAAAGTGAGAAAGGAACAGGAGGAAAAGAAAAAATACAAGAAATGGAAAAGCAGAAGCAAGGGAAACACAGTCTACAAGTGAATCAAGTCCTTTCTCCAGCGGGAAACTGAACAGGCAGGCCCAGGCCCGGGGCCGGTGGGCTGCTCCCGCCTGCTCTGGTCCTTCCTTGCGCGGGGGGTGACATCTGGGAATCACTATTCGGTGGCCTTTTGGGTTCTGGGTTCCCTTCTCAGAAACACCCAAAACCTGCAGGCCAGAAGTCAGCGCGCATGGACGAGTCCAAGGGCTGGGGGTCTGCGGCTGGGTCAGCGTGCCCACGGGGAGGAGCTCCTGGCCCTGGAGGCAGCTGCCATGGAGGCAGCTCTCCATCTCTGCAGAGAGGTGAAGCCACAGGCGGGGACACTATCACACGTGGGCCGTGTGACAGGCCAGGCCAGAGACTCAGTGAAATGGAGCTGGGAAGAGTGGCGGACGGGGACCCCGGGAGCACACAGTGCGCAGAGGACTCGCTGGTGCTGGGGGGCCTGGGGCCCTCAAGGAAGCGGGGAGCCGCTCAGCAAGGGACCATCACAGAACCACAGGCCCACGTGGGCTGGTGAGTAGGGGCTCCGTGGTCAGAATTAACCCTGTTCAGGGGAACAGGAGGGCCGAGCAGACACACTGCTGGGTAAGAGGCCATTCACTTCGCAACAGGGCGAGAGCAGATGCCTCTTCCTTGTCAGCACTTCTCCACTCTCCACGGGGCACGGCAATGAGTCTGACACCGGGTGAAACTGCAGGACTGAGGCCAGGGGCTGCGTGTGTGGTGCGTGTGTAGTGATTATGTCCAGTGTCTGCAGAGGCATGGCTGTGACCACGTGCGCTGGGGAGGCGAGAAGGTTGCTCTCTTACAAGCACCCTCTGTAGCTCATCTGCACCCAACCTTCTCTTGTTTCCACGCTGGTGCCCGGGATGCCTGGACAAACCCAGAACTGCAGGGTCACACCTCTGACGTCACACACACAGGCTGCACTCATTAGCAAGGGACAGCGACACGACACACAGGCAGATGCATCCAAAGGAAGTACGTGCCTGTAGGTGCAGTCAAGACCGTTCACTTCCAGACATCACAAAGCACAGCTTCTAGACCCGATCACGCAGACCACGTCCCTGGACGCTCCGTCCAGGACAGAAGACGCATGAGATGACAGAACAGTACTCAGGACGTGAAGTCCTCTTGCCGACCGGCAGAGCAGACAAGAAATTTCAGAGGCCGGGGTTGGGGGCCGACACCAGCGCGGCTGCGAGCCCTCCTCCACCCTCCCCACAGCCCCGCTGTTGCCACAGCACGTCGTCTTTTATGATCAGAAAAAGCACCCAGTAAGTACTGTTTGAAAAGAAGAAACTGAGGGGGGATGTCAGCCAGACAAACGGAGCTCCAGGAGCCCGAGCCCGAAGTGAGCATGCAAGGGGAAGCTCAGAGCCACTGACACAGAGCTCATCTCCTGCCTGCCTGGGGACGTGAGGGACACAGGACTCGGTCCACTAGCTGTAGGGAAGAGACTTCGTCACACTTTTCACGTCTGCTTCTGGGTAACGTCCGGGTGATGGCGGCAGCCATGGCCCTGAGCGCCCTGCACGCTCGCCCGCAGACATGATGCCATTGGCACCCACCCTCCGCAACACCAGCGGGTGACACGGGTCCCTGAACTTGGGAAAGCTACAGGGTCTCACCTACAGCAGGGTCGGCTCCACAAGTTCCCGAGGGAGCAGGGAGTGAGCGTGCTGCTAGGGAGCCCCGGCCCCCACAGCTGTCGTCTCCTCTGGGCCTGCACTGGCCCCGTGGCCCCACACCTGCAGCTCCTGTCTTCAGATGAGGGGCCTGAGTCTCAGAGGGGCTGAAGGTGGTGCAGCCTGAACAGAACCCGGCTTTCTGTCCTCTCTGACGGACGGGGGTCCTTCCTCCAGGAGTCACGCACACAGCCCACTCCCAGTGCAGACCCGGAAGGGCACCATGTCACCCTCCCCCGTCTCTGCAGAGACCCAGAGAGGGTGAGTGAACTGGCTGCGGACACAGTGGAGCCAGGTCTCACTGCCCTACGACAGGGGCTCCCACAGGGCCGCGTGGCCCAGGGCTGGTCCCGGGCCCGGCGGCAGAAGCGGCAGCTTCAGAGCAAGCCCCCGCCCTCTTCACAACACCTGTGCCTCCTGTGTTTCCCGCTTCCTCTGGCTTCGTCATAAAGGCTTTGTCCAAAGCCCTGCATCCTCCCCTCCACCCCATCGCCTAACAGAAACATACATCAGGATAGCTGGAAAAGACAGACAAACCCTCAAGACATTGCATCTGGCGTCCAAGTGAGACACAGACAGACCCCACCCCCTTCCTTCTGGGAGCTGAAACCCCAAGACCCTCCGAGACTGAGGGAGAGAAGGGCTTGGGGCCTCGGTCGGACGTGTTGTAAAGCCTGGAGGGGCCAGGACCAGGCCAGCTCCACCGGGGACGAGCAGCTGGCACGGGGTTGCCTGGGGTTCCGGGCCTCCAGGTCGGTCACCTAGCGCCGCCTGGGGCCACGCAGCGCCGCCTGGGGCCACGCAGCCACTGGCTTCCACACTGGTGCTACGTCAGAAACAATCAGAAACACCTCATAAGGATCGTGGGCTCATTTTAAGGACCATGTAAGAAACTACCAAATTACACAAGAAATGTTCACTGAGCACGTCTGATGCCCTGGGCATGGTGCCAGTTAAAACACATCAGGCCATTTTCTCTAAGAGCCAAAATAGGAAAAATGTCCTGGTTGGAAGCAAAAGACAGAGCAGCTGCAGCAGAAGCCAGGCCGGTGGCCCTGCCTCAAGGGTTCCTGGACAAAAGGAGGGCATGGCGGGGGCCAGCCTGCAGCCAAGGGGCTCCTCCTCACCCAGGGCCTCCCTTTTCCCCTCCTGGGCAGCCCCTGTCCCTCTACTGGACAGAAGAGATTCCCCACAGCCTCAAGCTGGAGGGGTCTCCACAGCCAGCGCCTGCAGACCTGGGAGGGGCCTGCTCGGGAGACAGCTGGGTTCCAGAAGTCCCCAGGGACATTGGCTGTGCCCTAGAGGTGCGGACACTAGGGACAGCGGCAGGGAAACGGGCTTTTCTAAGGGCTGAGTTTATGACTGTACTTCCACGTGAAAAGTCAGAATTCCAAGGCACCCGCTCACAGAAATCACAGGATATCACCTTCCATGGGCTCAGAGCCGCGCCCATATATCTTGACACTGCAGCTCGTCCTCCGGCCACACTTCCAGGAAGCTCTGCTCATGCCCCGGCCTCCAGGCCCCAGGCTCCTGCCCCCCACCCCCGGCCCCACCACCAGCTCTGGTCTGTCCCTGCCCAGTCCTCTTCCGGGGCATTTCCGTCCTGACACCTTTTATCCAAGTCACATTATAGAAATGGCCAGGGCCGGGGAAACACCAGGGGCACCTCTTGTGCCCAAGCTCAGTCTAGCAGATTAAACTTGCAAGAGAATTTATTGGTGTTTCAGGCATGAAAAACGGGGCCTCTCACCGACTTTCTCCCCTGTGGTGTCCAGGTCACGTGGCCTGGAGCAGGAGGACTGACCAGGGTCACACACGCCTGCGAAGCACCAACGCCCGCCCCAAGGGCAGCCTGCATGCCCGGTCCACACCTGGGGCCACACCGAAGCCCGCAGCTGGTCTGCAGGGCTGCGGGAGGCCGCGACGCGGTGGGTGGCAGGGCGCAAGGCTTCCAGCCCCACGGGCCTCGCCTACGTACATGCGACAGGGCCGGGGAGCTGTCTCGTTAGAAAAACTCAGTACAGAATGAACCTCTAGACTGAGGGAAAAACAAAGGCAAGAAAAAACAAATGTGAAAATTGAGATACAATACACACACACACACACACATACACACACGGGCTGGGACGCACACACACAGGAAAGCTGGGGCTCCTCAAGGATTTAAAGTTCCTAAAGCAAAAACAGAGCCAGGCTAACGCTCAGACCAAACAGACCAGCCAAAAAGCAGGCAGCATCAACTGTGAAGTGAGCACAAAGGGGAGGCTCAGGAGGGGGGAGCAGGCAGCGGGGGCCTCCCTGCCCTTCCCCCTCCAACAGCAACAGCGGAAGCCCCTTCTCCAGAGCTCGGAGCTGCATTTCTAAACCACTCACGTGCTCTCCATTTCCTCTTGACACACACAAATCAAGCAGTGAGGTCTTTGAAAACTGGAACGAGGCACGTGCACTTTCAGCAGAAAGCTCTTCGGAGGGTGACTGTTTCGCCTGCCGAGCCCCTGCCGCCTACCTGGTCCCGGGCGCCAAGACTAGCGGCTGGGCGGCCAGACCCACCCACTGTCCTTCAGTGGGTCCTTTGAAACCACAAGGTCCAGCCTTGTGCCAAAGGGACGTTTACACTCTGCGGCTCAAGAACATACTTCTAAGAGGCTTAGCGCCTTTAACTGTGAGCTGAGGGTCACGGAGACCCCGCAGGAGCCAGACGGGGGTTGGGCAGAGCCCGGGACAGAGGCTGGCGGGTCTCCTCTTGTCCACACACGCAGCACAGGGGCGCTGGGTTTCTGTGTGGCCCTTTGGGGGTACAGTACAGAGAAGCAATCAGGGTCTACATTGCAGGCTCCACATTGCAGGAGGGTAAATTTGCCCCCAAATACCAAATATTACTGAGTGCTCTAAGAATGAAACATCAGCAGAAACTGAAAAAGGGTCTGATTCTGGCATCTACGCTTTCCTCCCGGAGCTTCTGGGGGAGGGCCCAAGACTGTGCTCTCTTCGGAAGGGCAGCAGCCTCCGTGCAGTGAGCAGAGCCTGCGGAAGTCTGGACTTAACACAGGAGTCACCAAGGGCTGACACAGAGGAAGAGAACCATCACAGGGGTTATAAAGCGTCTGACGT